ATTTTTAATAATTTTTTCATATACAAATTCTACTATTTAACCCATAGTTGTGGGGGAAAGACAAATTCCTATCTTTTCAAAGCATATCTACATGTAAGTGAATGTAACAACCCCAAGTGGAATTTGAACTCTGCTCTCTGATTAAGTGTGTGTGAGTGAGAGAACATGTGAGCAGACATGTAATTATGTGATCATATGAAAATGTGTGCATAAGTTGGCACGATTTCATTTTTCTGTACTGATAACTGTCATGCTAAGTTTAAGTTCTGACAGACTTTGCTTTATTCACCTTTAACCCTTGGAAAAGATGTATGCTTTGGTTGGCAGCCAGTCTAAGTGAAAGGAAACCAGAGTTCAAATTCTTACTGCTATATTGTTATCTTTGGAAGAAGAAAAAAAGTCTAAAATATAAATCCTACCCAACAGAGCCCCTAAGGCTTTTGGATGGTGCACAGCATCATCTTCTAGACATACCTGCAGCTGTGTCTGGACCAAACTGTATTGGTGCTTATTTTCTCCCAATACAAGTCTTAAGAGCCACTCATGGTAGAGAACTTAGGGAGGCGGGGGCAACGAAAGAAAGTAAGGATGGAATAGAGGGAAGGGGCAAGAAGAAATTGAAGAATGAATTTAGGGGGTGAAAAAGAATGTGCAAGTAAGGAATTAAGGGGTGGGTCAAAAAACAATGATTGAGGGAGGAACTATGGGAGCAAATAAAGAATAAGTGAAGTAGGAATTATAAAGTTTGCAAAAGGAATATGCAAGGAAGAGATAAAGAAGAAAAATGACTGACAGGTGCTAAAAGAGAAGCAAAAGAAATTGGTAAACAAAAGATGACTGAATAAAAACACTAAAATATGATAATTACTCAGCTTAGGTAAGATTGACACAAGATTTTGTTTTGAGCAGTAAGTAAAAATTGAACTTAATATCAATCTTGATGACAGGAAGTCACTAACCACATGATCCATAAGTGTTCAAGAACAAAGAAAAAAAAACTATGATGCTTCATGAAGGAAAAAAGAAAAAGAAAAAGAAATGGGAACAAGAATAAATGTCAGAAGACAAAAACAAAAAAAATAAAGATGGGAAAAAATTTTACATTTTAAGATCACTTGAATTTCTTCAAGAGTTTAATCTGCGTATTAGTTATTATAATTTTTTTCTTCTTTTCAAATAATAAAATAGAACAAATTGGTTTAAGATTTGAAACAATGACAAGATTGACCTAATTTTTTGAAAGCTTTGTTTTAAAAAAGGCTGATCACTAACAATATTATGAATAATAGATAATTTTATTAAAAGATTTCAATAGAAAGGGAAGGAGAACAAAAGATGGAAACAAAAATGGAAAATAATGGAAAATGATATTAAGACAAATCCTGTTGAAAGCAATGAAGGTAAAAGTAGTGGGAAAAACGGTAATTAGAAAAGAGGGACAGCAAGACAGAGAGAGAGAGAGGGGACGGAAACGGGCGACAGAGAGAGAGAGAGAGAGGGACGGAAACGGGCGACAGAGAGAGAGAGAGAGAGAGGGACGGAAACGGGCGACAGAGAGAGAGAGAGAGAGAGAGGGACGGAAACGGGCGACGAGAGAGAGAGAGAGGGACGGAAACGGGCAAGAGAGAGGGACAGAAACGGGCAAGAGAGAGGGACAGAAACGGGCAGAGAGAGGGACAGAAACGGGCAGAGAGGGACAGAAACGGGCAAGAGAGAGGGACAGAAACGGGCAAGAGAGAGGGACAGAAACGGGCAAGAGAGAGGGACAGAAACGGGCAAAGAGAGGGACAGAAACGGGCAAGAGAGAGGGACAGAAACGGGCAAGAGAGAGGGACAGAAACGGGCAAGAGAGAGGGACAGAAACGGGCAAGAGAGAGGGACAGAAACGGGCAAGAGAGAGGGACAGAAACGGGCAAGAGAGGGACAGAAACGGGCAAGAGAGAGGGACAGAAACGGGCAAAAAGAGAGAGGGACAGAAACGGGCAAGAGAGAGAGAGGGACAGAAACGGGCAAGAGAGAGAGAGGGACAGAAACGGGCAAGAGAGAGAGAGGGACAGAAACGGGCAAGAGAGAGAGAGGGACAGAAACGGGCAAGAGAGAGAGGGACAGAAACGGGCAAGAGAGAGAGGGACAGAAACGGGCAAAGAGAGAGAGGGACAGAAACGGGCGGGCAAGAGAGAGGGACAGAAACGGGCAAGAGAGAGAGGGACAGAAACGGGCAAAGAGAGAGAGGGACAGAAACGGGCAAAGAGAGAGAGAGGGACAGAAACGGGCAAGAGAGAGAGAGAGAGAGGGACAGAAACGGGCAGAGAGAGAGAGAGAGGGATGAAACGGGCAGAGAGAGAGAGAGAGAGAGGGACAGAAACGGGCAAGAGAGAGAGAGAGAGGGACAGAAACGGGCAAGAGAGAGAGAGAGGGACAGAAACGGGCAAGAGAGAGAGAGGGACAGAAACCTGCAAGAGAGAGAGAGAGAGGGACAGAAAAGAAGGAAATAGTAATAAGATGAAGATATTTAAGTATATTTGAAAATTAGTCATAAATTGCATGTATATTTTTTGTTCACCATCTTTAAACTGATTCTATATGTAAATATCAAAGGATATGTAATCTTGCATTTCTCCTGATACTGAAATACCTGCCAAAGCCTTCAACCATACTGGACATAGCTCCAATATCACAATGAGGTTAGTTAAGTTACATCATTTGGAACTATGACTAGGTCTTTAAGTGTCTTAGAATAGAATAATTAATTTAGTCTGTTTAAACATTATCATGTAGTGAGTTCAATACTCAATAGGTGACATATTTGTGATCTTGTGCTTAAAAAAAATACCAGAGTTAATATCTGTGAAAATGTCTATATAATTTGTCCAATTCACACATATACCAATAAAACCTATTTTTTATTATATTTCTTTGAAACCAGATTCATACAAGCAGATGAAGAGTTTTATCATATATTTAATAATAATAATGGAATTAACACATTACTGCATAAAGCTTCTTTAAATTTTAACTGTTTTTCGCTTAAACTAATTACAATCTTAGGGCTGGTGGATTTTAAGGTAACCCCCCTCTCTAAAAGATTAGATGCCATCCACTAATAGGTTAAATAGTGTTAGCATCATAGCTTAGTAGGAGTTTACGTATTTTCTCTTACCTTCATAATCTTCTGCCTGTACTTTTAAGTTAGTTTGCCATTCTGTTCTCTTTAAATTAGTCATACTATTCAGCAGTACATGCAGTTGACCAAAGTTAAATATAAGCCATAAGAAGGACAAAACTATCAAACAATCCCATCACTTTATGTAATAGAGTGAGAGAGACAGTGTGGACAGAGATCAACACTGCATGGTAACTGTCATGATTCAATGCAATGTTCAGATCAAAAATTTGAAGATCATATTGAAGTGTTAAAACTGACATGCAATATTGATCCCAATGTCCACACTATATCTAAAAATGCTCTATCTTCAATATTGAGCACTATTCTTTGAACATTGTAGACTGACACTACATATAGTAGGTAGATGGCTCAGAAGTTTTTAGGTTTATACCAAATAATAGAAAGCACATTACTTGAGGAATACCAACAGCAGCAACAACTAAAATGGATATCACAGGTAACTCAAAGAGAAAAATGTTAACATTCCACACTACCTCAAATAAGAGGTTCAGAAGGAAACTCCAATATGGCAAAGAGTGATCACAACTGCTAGACCTGAGAAACCCATTTTCCTGAAAAATTATTTTAAGAGAAAGATTTTATAAATTTCAACCAAACAATGAATGCCAAATGTTTCCTTGTAGGGAAAAGACTAATATTGCCATTACCATATAGCTGATGCTTCAAAAAGTTCTTTGAGAAAGAGTAAAAGTTCAGTGAGGATGAAATTATAAAGTTGAAAGATGGCACAAGATAGTGGAACAAAACAGTAAACATGTCCAATAAGAAAGGAATTTTTTTTTTTTTAATTTTTACCTAATAAGCTAAAAACTTCTGAGCCACCCACCTACTATATACAAAATTGACCTTAAAACTACTAGTGTTTATGAACATGTTAATTAAGGTTAATATCTTCAACGTTCACAGAATTAAGTGTATATATATATGCTTGTCCATCAGAATCTACAAACACTAGCACTTGTGCATGTTAGGATGGAGATTTAAAGCAAAAAGGACTTAAATCAATAAATCCCTTGGATTGTATTAAGAGAAAGCCAAGTTGCAAAAAGTACAGCAGGGAATTTTGAGAAACAAAAATAGGACAAAAGGGAAAAAAAAGGGGAAAATGCGGGAGGCGAAGCCCAGTTTTGTCAAAGAATACTGCGGCTACTAGAAAAAAAAAAAAAGATAAATAAAGATGGTGAATGACAAGATAAGAGAAGGAGAGAGAGGAAAGGAGAGGAGGAGACGTGATCGATTGGGAAAGAAGAATATAAGGAGTGGGGGGAGCTGTCCAGGAAAAAGAAAAAAGTCAAAAAAAAAAAAAAAAAAAAAAAAAAAAAGAATCTTAACAGTAGAGATAAAGTGACTTTGAAACCAAAAGTAATGAACTGATTAATAAAAAAAAAAATTTTTAAAAATCAAAAAAAATAAAAAAAACCAAAAAAAAACCCCAAAAAACTTCAAGAAGCAAGTGGATAAAAGGTTTGATAGATGGTTTAAGGAGTGAGAGTGAGAGTTTAAGGAAGGAGAAGATAAAAACTGACCAAACAAAGGAAAGCATGAATAACTGGGAAGAGACAATGGGGAAAACAAAGGAAGAATTCAAGATGAAAGTCCAAACAACAAGTGCAACAGAAGTGAAAGGAATTTTTGCTTTATGTTGACAAAACAACAACAACACTTATCAGTGATGGTTAACATCTTTGCTTGTGGGTCTGGGAGTTGATGAACATGAAATGAAGAAGGAATCAAGAAGAGTGGTAGTTAAAGAGAGTGATTAGTGAGAGATGATGGAGTAGAAGAAGGAGGAGGAGAATTGAAAAAAATAGTTTTACAAAGAATAAGAGAGAGAAAGATTGGCAGAAAGAAAAAAGATTTTCAAGAAAATAAGGAAAGAAAGAGAAATAAAGGTAGAATGCCAAATATAAAGAGAGTTAATATAAACAAAATGAAAAGAACCTGTTGAAAGAATCATTGAAATATGAAAAAAAAAGAGTGAGAACACAGAAAATAGAGAGAAAAAAAATGAAGAGGCAAGATGGTGAGAGAGAGAAAGGAGAAATGGGAAAAAAAAGAAATGGGAGAGAACGGAAGCGAGAAATGGGAGAAAGAAGCGAGAGAACGAAGCGAGAAGAACGAAGAGAAATGGGAAGGAACAGCGAGAAAAAGCGAGAAATGGGAGAAAACAGCGAGAAAACGAAAGCGAGAAATGGGAAGAAAGCGAGAAATGGGAAAACGAAAGGGAGAATGGGAGAGAAAAAGCGAGAAATGGGAGAGAACGAAAGCGAGAAATGGGAGAGAACGAAAGCGAGAAATGGGAGAGAACGAAAGCGAGAAATGGGAGAGAACGAAAGCGAGAAATGGGAGAGAAAGAAAGAGAAAAATAAAAGCAAAGAAAGAGAAAAATAAAAACAGAGAAGGGAAAGAAAGAGAAAAATAAAATTAGAAAAAGGAAAGATAGAGCCAAGAAAGTGAGAGAGAAACATAGCACAAGACAGAGTGAGAAAAAAATAAGGTACTTCATACATGTCAATCATGGAAGCAAAGTTACAACTACTGTGGATCGGTTTCCTTATCTCTCCTCTATCTTCCTTTCTGTCTTTCTCCTCTTCCTCCTCCAACTGCTATGTTGCAGTTCAGGCAAAAGATAAAAAACAATAAATAAATAAATAAAAAGGACTTGGTTAACAAACAGTCCCTTGCCAACAAAATCAATATCTGCCTTTCATTGCGCCATCTTACAACAATTAGCATTTCCTAACATCAGCCACCATATGCATTCATTCCTGTTTTTCTTATTTCATTCACTAATATTGTCTTCATTTTTTATTCTGCTTCACTTCATTCTTAATTGATATCTTTTTTACTTCTTCAATGTCAAATGATCCTTTTGTAGAACTCCCCTAATTAGACAATAACCTATATCTTCAATCCTGACCAAAAACATTACCAAAACTGAAATTTCTAACAACTGACCAAAAGCCTCTTTTGTTTGCTAAGATATGGGGGGGGGATAATAGTTAGTTGATTTGTTTGTCAGCTCATTCAGAAAATCATTTTTCTTTTTTGATTCTTTAGCTGTTTTGAATACTATTCTCCAAGATCTATTTTACTTGCAGCAACCGGAATTCTCAATTAGTTAGCCATTCAAAATACTGGCTCATCTCCTCTGGTCTCATTAGCTTGGAGATTTAAATTTTCTCAATCTCCCAGCCAGTTGTCCTAATTTTGGATTAAATAATTGCAAAATGTAAGCAAGATTTGTTTGGCAACCCTGAAATCAAGCTGCATTCAAACTTGGATGTGTAGATGGCATAATTGTTGCTGAGTCAGAAAGTGAAATCTGCATGCCAAGTTCTAATTCCAACACAGACTGTAGCAGTTACATTACACTAATGCTCTTCAGAAAGACATGAATCCAACTCTTAAAAAAAAAAAAAAAAAAAAAAAAAAAAAGGTAAAATAGTAGGATATGGTGAACTTTTTAACCAAAGTCAGGTAACTGTTAATTCAAAACTGTAGAAGGCAATGGGCAATCACTACACTATACTGGAAATATTTATCACAATGCAAAGTTTATAAATATTAAACAAAACAAAAGGAAGCTGTAGAAATCTGATTGCCTTTGTTGTAAAGAAAGGCAAAAAAAAAAATCAGTTATCATGGGACTCACAACACTTTAGACATCTTAGAATAAACTTTAGAAAAATTCAATTGATTTTTGAAATACTGATTTGGAGAACCTTGACAAAAAAGTATGTTATTGAGAAAAGGAAGAATTGTTTTCAAGTGGACAATTTAAAACAGTATCTTTGTCTATACTGTTTTTTTTTGTGTGTGATTCACAGGTAACTAATCTGATCAACCAACAGATTTTGTCAAAGGCAGTGTTAAAAAATAAAAATATTTCAATTTTAGACAAAAGTTCAAATATTTTAAGTAAACAGAAAGGAATTATGAAAGCAAAATGATTCTTTAAACAAAGTTACAAGATTGCAAGAGAGTGAGCAAAAAATAATCTGAGTTTGTGGGGTTTTGAGAAATGGAACCAGAAGATAGAGTGAATAAAAAAAAAAAAAAAAAAAAAAAAGGGGAAGGGGGAGAAGGCAGAGTGAGAAAGGAGAAGGCAGAGTGAGAGTGAGAACAGAGAGAAAATAGCTGTTGAAAGATAATAAAAAAGCAACTGAAATTAGTACGAAATCATTAAAAATTAATACTTGACAATGATTGCTCTCATAAAATACAAGAATATAAGTGCATGTAAATAAATGTTAAAAATTTCAGTGCCTAGTATTGGAGGAAAATAGCAAATAAAGTTACTTTCTTAAATTCGAGCTTTGGTAATTATTGGTTTACTTAGCTTAATTGGTAAAGCTGCCAATGATAACAGTAAGACAACCTTTATAAGAAAAAAAAAAAAAAAAAAGTTCAAGTCTTGCCAAAAACTATATTATTTCTAATCAGTTCTGCTCACTAATCATCAATCTGAGAAGTTGCTATAAAAAGCAACCAAAATAAAGATTAAAAATACTAATGAAACATTTAAAAAGTATTTTCTGTATATTGCTGAATAAAAACTTGAAGGATTCAAATATTCTTGCTTTGTTTCAGTTGTCTATAAATAAAAAGTCAATATTCCTAGGAGTTCTTCTCTTTGTTAGTCTGTCAATGTCTAAAAGACCGATACAAACATTTTTTTAATTTGATAAACAAAAAAATATTAAAAATTGACAGATTCCTTAGAGATGCCCCATTATTTTTTTTGTTTAATTGAAGTCTTTTAATGTTTTCCTATCAAACAAATGTCATTGAAAATTACTTAACATCTTTTTTCTTTGCCCATTATTTTTAATAGCCTGCTACAAAGTTTAAAACAATTTCAAAAACAAAAAAAAATTTCACTATAAATGGAAACTTTCATTTCAAGACAATATAGCATTTTGATACTGTTTATCATTATCAGCTTTTGATGAAACACTATCTGAACAGGCGACAAAGAAACCAAAATGCGACAGCTTTATTATTTCAATTTATGTGGCACCCATACAAATAAAGAAACAGAAAAACTGCATGCAGTAACAACATTCAAAATCCTAGAAGATAATGTGGCTGTTTTAGAGACATTATTTTATGAAATTCTATGGATTTGCAAATTAAAATCTTAAACATACACAAAGGTTGAATGAGTGCTGAACTGTCTGAATTGGTTTAATTAATACAAATCTTTTAATTAAAAAGTAAATTAAATATAACATGCAAATCATTGATCACTGATGGTAGATACGTTCAAACCTTTCACAAGTTTGTTTTTTGCTATGATTAACTCTTTTCAAACCAAATTGTTCAGACTAAGCGAATTTGATTGTCAGGGTCAAAAAAAGCATTTAAAATATTAAATAAGAAAATCATACATTTACAATTTTTTTTTTCATTCTCTGTTTCAAGCAAACTATAAGAAACTTCATTTTCAGGTTTTAAGAACAGATTTTTTTAAAAGTTAAACTTCGAAAAACCCTCAAATGGAAACCATTTGAGCTATTTATCCAACATGAAGATATTTCTAACAGAGTCCCACTTGTAAGTTTACATGCTGCTTTTATCAAATTCTTTCCTCATGTAGCACCAATTTGGCTGTGATGCATGTGCCTGGTATACCTCTGCCAGATCAAGTGTTATGATTGATATATTGCACTTTGTATATTTGTATCCCAGTGTCATGCTATTAGCATGCTGTTCTCTTAATGATGAAAATGGTAATATTAACAGTTGCCATATAAGAAAACATTCACCTTTCATTGATCAAGCAATGCTAATTTCATTTGAAATTTAAAAATCTTTCTAGTTATACCTCACCCTACATTGTCAGTTAGTTCCAGAGGTCACAATTTAGGTCGAAAAATGACTAAGTTGAAGTAACCACATTATAAACCACAAATAAGCACTCCCATTTGCCTATTACAGTATTCATGATCTGTACATATATCATTCTGAATAAAATAATTTCTGCTTTATCTTCAAACAATATAACTTTATACTTAGCATTAGCACTTGCACTGCGATTTTTCTTCAGAGCCATGGATAAAAATGTATTCTAAATCACAACTGAAATGTAATTAAAAGGACGTCAACAGAATGGCACAGATGTAAACAAGTCTGAATTCAAAATCAGTGTTGGAGCAAAAAACAACGCACGAGTGCTGGCAGGAATTTGAAATAAGAACATCTGCTGAACATACTTTATTATATTTTTTAAATGATTTTATGAGATATATATATATATATATATATATATATATATATATATAATTTTAACATTTAAATATGATTTTATGTTTTTTTATTGTTATTTTAGTATTGGACATTTCTAATATTTTTTTAACGACCGACATAAACTTCAGTAAAATGACCTACAGCAAGTTTATTTTTCCATATAATATTTAAGAAAAATCGATATATATTCGAAAATGACTTAACTCAAAATGACTTAGGTAAGGTAACACTGTATTAAAACAATTTTTCAGGAAAATAGGTTTCCACTGTCTACTAACAGTTACTGCTCTTTCCAGTACTGATGTGAGTTTCCTTCTTAACTTTTGTTTAAAGTAGTATAGATTATGTCATCATTTTCTCTTCATGTTACATGTGCTATCCATTTTAGTTGTTGCTACTGTTGAAAGTCTTCAAAGTTTGTTATTTGGTACAGTTCTTTGTTTATGATTCTGTAGCGCTAGTCTAGGAGATTTGAAGAAAGATGTTTCTCTCAAAGACCTACAAAGTTCATTCAGTCAAAATCATTGATCTGAGAAAGCGGTTGTATACAGTTAACAGTTTAGACCAGGGGGTCAGCAACCTTTTGCTAACTGTATGCTGACTTAGGGTTTTAAAATTTAGTGTGCCAACAGCATACATATTTTTATACAAGTCAAGGTTAATATACCTGTACAACAATATATTTTATATAGTAATACATAGTATATATACTTTAGTATATATTAAAAGTGAAACAGCTATCTTTGTGTTGTGGTAGTTATTGGTTCGGACTTTGTGATGTCATTTGTGGCAGTGTGCCATTGGAAATTGCTTGGCATGCCATGTGTGGCACTCAAGCCGTAGGTTGCCGACCACTAGTTTAGAAATTTCTGAGAAAGTTAGGTGCCATGCATCATATTCATATAAAATTCTACATCTGATGAGGCTATTTAAGAACGTGACAAGTTCTTCGGTTAATACTAATGATTAATAATAATAATAATATTAAGGATAAGAATAATTAACATAATTCTACTTGTTCCTTAGTTAATTAGCATATGTGTTACACCCGGCTAATAAGTCATAAATAATTGACTATTCCATTTTTTCTCTAAGGAAAGATAGAAAAGACATATCAGAGATGCTGTTTGGTTTCAGTAAAAGAAAGAGATGACAGAGGATGCAATAATGCTATCATGTTTAATATCCGCTTCAGTGAAAAATTTGTCAATTTCAAATCTTTTCATTTGTAATTGTACCCTTTTACATCTTTAA